CTGTATATATTTGATTCACATCAAACACTTTTCATCACAAAGCCAATCTTTAAAAAAATTCTGACGAAAAACAATTTATTTTTCTTCTGGAGTCATCGTCACGTCTGTGAAGATTCAGAAGAAACAAAAATTGATTGAGTTCCAAAAACTTATACAACGTTTTGTTGGAAACCCAGCTACATTTAACAAAAACGTTTCCAATGAATGGACTATTTTAGCAAATGAGCGAGTTTAGCTAATGAGCATATTTAGCAAGTGAGCATTTAGCAAAAGATCATCAAGCTAATGAGTATTTGCCACATTTTTGACACATGATCCATCAATATCCTAGGGTCGAAAGGGGAAAGACATGTTGTATCAGTTTACAAATGCACTTGGACAAAATTGTAAAATTTTACGAAAAATGAGAAACAGTTGTAGTCAGAAAGAAAGGAATCAGGTGAATCTTTTAGAAAGGGCAAAATACTTGAGTAAGTAAAGGGTGACTGAAAAATGAGAAGTAGGGTGTTTTTCTTATTTCTAAAAACTGGAATTCAAAATTTTTGCAAAGATCAAAAAGTTTGAATTTTTGGAAATTTCAGAATTTCAAACAGACAAAAAGGTTTCCATAGAGATATAGAAAACGTTAATAAATAAATTTCAAAAAAAAAAGTCTTCTAAATCAGAAAATTCTGAGTTGTGATCCTATTATTTATGCTCAAATTGAGAAAAAAAATAGATAAAAAATTACTGTTTCAAAATTTTGCTGTTTCAAATTTGATCAAATTTGAGCATTATGTTAACCAGTGTGTTAAGTAATCATTGAAAAGCAATCAGAATTTTGAAAACTCGGAATATTTCGAAAACCTGAGATTCTGAAATTCCGAATTTTTAGAAATGATTTTTCATCTTATTATTTATGCTTTAAATGAAAACTTTCTCATTCAGAAGACGTCCGAAATGTGTTTCTCTGCTCTTCAGAATTAGAAAAAATGTAGGCGTCATGAAAAAAGGAAGGTGAAAAGTCAGAGGTTATCATTTCCTGATCATATCAGTTCACATGTAGTTGTTCTTCATTTTTGAGCATGATTTTTCAGACTAGACGCGACGATTTTCACGTTTTGAGATTCAGAATTTGAATTTGAAAAAATCGAAATCCTGGCCAAAGAAATATTTGAATCCAAAAATTCTGATTTTTTGAATTTGGTGCTAAAAACTGACTTTTCATAATCACCTGAAACTTTTGAAAAAAAATGTAAATAATAATTTTTTCAAATCAAACAGTGTGGTCATTCATTTTGATTAATTTTTTTTAATTGAAACTGAAAATTAATTATTTTTTCGAAACAGTGAAAAAATGAAGGAATTGGAAATCATAATTTAAATCGAAAATTCTTTAAAGGTGGGGGGACAGGAGATTTTTCGTAGTTTTTTTGTAGCTAGAGTATGCATTCTACCGTGACGGTGTACAACGCTTAATGTCACTCTGCGTACAGCTGTCGTCCTCGCCTTTATGTATGCAATCGGGTTTGCGCTTTCTGTTTGCCCCCGTGGCTCAGTCGGTAGCGGCGCCGCACCCTCAATCATCGCCCTCACAAGTTCAACTCCTCGAGGGGCATCTTTGAACGGAATTTCGAGAATTTTTTTCATGTCCCCCCACCTTTAAGCAATTTTTCGAAACAGTAATTCTTATACCTGAAAAAAAGGTTCTTTAAAACACTGAGATTTCACTTATAAAGAATAAAAACCTTAGTCATAAATTGAAAAAGTGGGCGGAGCCTAAATTTCCTGTAAGACTACCCGAACGTTTTGTGACGTTTCCTGGTTTTTGAAAAAGAATTTTTTCTAGAAAAGAAGAGAATATGTCTAGGAAATCTAGTTTTTCAGTCTTATTAATTAAAAATGACATTATGAAATCCCATTAACTTTAAATTAGTACAAAAATTAATATAAGTTTACCATTGTCTGTGCACTAACTTTTTAAATTTAATTTTTCGGTGGCCAATTTTTGAAACAGTAATTTTTTTTCCTTGAAAAATATACAAAATTAGTGAGAAATATAGGCTGGATAGTTGACAACAAAGCAATCAGAACGTGAGTCGAAAATCTAGGGTTTGAAAATACAAATGATAGAGAAAGAGACAAAAGGGAGAACCTAGGGTCATTTCTCAAAGTTCATGGATAGTTCGAAGTTTGAAAAAAGAGTGCAGTGGAGCGAAAATTCAGAAAGCTCAGAATCTTGGGACCTAAAAAATTAGAAATTCAATAATTTTAAGATAGGATAATCGAGAAATCCAGAAACTTGAAATTCGAAATTTTAGGAGTCTAAGAATTTTAGGATGTGATAATTTGAAAATCCAAAAATATGAAAATCGGGAATTCCAAAAATATAGAAATTTCTACAAAAGAGTAGATATAGTTTTAAAGATCTAGCTGGAAGATTCAAATTCAAGACTCAAAATTAGGATTTGAAATTATCAAAACTTAAGAAATCAGAGTTTTAACTTTGGTTTTTCAGAAAAAAGCTACCGTTTCAGAAAATTTGAAAAATTGTTTCAGGGAATTTGAATATCAATACGAGGTTTAGCTTTAGTCCAAAATTGAAAAAAAAAACTGAAAACTTTATACCTATTCTGCATTTTTCGAAATAAGAGAAATTTTGCTGTTTCAAAAATCAAAAAATTCGACAAAAAATTTTATTTTTCAATTCCTTCACATTGTTAGGAATACATAATTTTGGGACAGTATCTTCCAAAAGTTGTTATTTGGACTGTTTCAAAGAACAAAATGATCCCAAAACAAGTAAAACATTTGTGTGAGCCTTTGACAAAAAAAAAAGAAAGAAAGATGCGCAAATAATGGTGTGGAAGAATGGGCTCTTTTCTAGTTTAGAGGTCCCAAAACAGTTTAGAGGTCCCAAGAAAAAATAGAGGTCCGATATTTGAAAAACGCACAGGTATTAGAATAATGTGCCAGAATTCGGAGTTTTAAGTTTTGAGGCTCTATAGGCTGATAAGAGCGGAAATGCGACTTCTCCTAATAGTTTTGGCTCCATTTCTTTTTTGTCTTTCTTATGGACCCCAATTTACATATAAGCAAAATATCGGCAAACAGTAATGCCTCCATGAATAAACTTTCTCTTAGGCTTAGATAATTTTCAGAAAATATGCATCTCTATGTCTATTAGAAGTATAAAATATATCATCAACACTTATTTTTTAAATAAAACCCCAGAGTTTTAATTTCTAACTTAGTTCAAATTCTGTTACACTATTCCAATATCTGTGCATTTTTCAAATTTAGGACCTTATAGCAAAATAATTGTTGATGATATATTTTATACTTCTAATAAGCTTAGAAATGCATATTTTTTGACAATTATCTAATAGTAAGGCTGAAAGACAGCATAATCACGGAGTTATTACTGTATTGCCCAAATTTTCCTCATATGTAAATTGGGGTTCATCAGCAAGATGCGAGAGAATTGGAGCTAAAATTATTAGGAGTAGTCATATCTTATCCTATAAGTCCCCAAAACTCAAACTACTCACACAGTTCAAATACTAGTACATTATTCCAACATCTGCGCGTTTTTTGAATTTCGGACCTCTATTTTTTCTTGGGACCTCTAAACTTTTTTGGGACCTCTATTTTATTTTGGGACCTCTAATTTTTTTTCAGACCTCTAAATTTTTTGGAACCTCTAAACTAGAAAAGAGCCGTCTTTTGTCGCATTTGCTAAATTTAATTTTTAAAATTTACGTTTTTTTTAATTTCTAAAAAAATGTGTAAAAAAGTGTTTTTAAAAAGGAGGCCAAAAGCAGAGTATTATTATAATTTTGATTTCTTAAAGACGAACTACTCGGAGAATACAAAAAAAGAGTTTTAAGAAAATAATTTGAAACAGAAAAAAAGAAAATTATGGTTTCTGGGGTACTTGAAGCTGAAAAATGAAAAGAGGGAGGAATGGAACATCGAAAATATATTGGAACGAACAGTTGCATTCGAAATCGAACAATTAAATTAATTATGCCGTTTTGGTTGTTGAACGACAAACTTCTTCGAGAAGTTGTCATTGTTGATCGCTTTTGGAGCTTTTGGAGCAATCCACTGAGTTCTGATCTTCTCGGTGCCACGTGGCTTCTCCTTCTTTTGGACTGCAACCTCCACTTCTTCTTCTTTCTGTGTAGCAAATGCTCTTTTTATGGAATCAAAGAGACTTTTGCTCACCCCAATGCTCTTGATATGCTTCTCCGTTGGATGAATATTCAGGAGCTCTTTGACGATCTGAAAAATAAGGAATTAGTATTTAGTTACTAGCAATTGTACGTTTAATACAGTACAATCTGTATTAGAAGGGTCCCTGTAATAGAAGGGCCTCAATAATCGAAGGTTTTATCCAATTAAGGAACCTCGCAACAATAAAAGGCTCGGCGCTTCTAATACAGGATTTACAGTACTTTGAATTGAAAAATAACAAAATACACTTACCATGATCTTGGCGATTTCGTAGTACCGCCGGTTATTCTTGTTTTCGAAGCATTCTGGGATCGAAGGCATCATGGTGAAATCAATAGATTTGAATAGGGAGATGAAGAATGAGAGGAAGAACGTCGTTGGGGTCCTGGTGTTCTCTGTACAGGTGGGGTTTGCGCGGGAAAACTTTCCAGGTGGGACCCTCACTTTTCTCCTGGGAATTTTCCAAGTGATAGGAGTGTCGTTGTTTTGTACTGTATCCCTACTGTACAGTTATGGCTGACCATTTTGTGATTTTTTGTTGGAATTTTCGAATTTTCTAGACACCTCGTGCTCACCTAGAATACATCAGCACTTTTTTCTTTGAAATTTTAATAATGTTATAGAAACACAATTGAAAAACTTGACTATTTTTCGAAAACTTCAACAATTTTTGAAACAGTGACTTTTTTAAAATTTCGAGAAATAATTATAATTTTTTTCGTGATGTCTGTTTACCGCTTATCAAATAGGAACGATTTTTTAAAAACTGCAATAATTTTTGAAACATTCATTTTTGAAACTTTGTTTTAGACAATCCAAAGAACTAATAATCATGACACTAGACTACAAAACTCACTTTTTCTTCTTTTGTTTTTTAAACCTTTTGGAAGGTTTCCCTCATATTTTTTGGCATATAATGGGAATATTTGACTTCTTATTCAACATAATACCGTAAAACCTGTATTAAAAGAACCGGCCCTTCTATTGTTCCAAGGTACCTCCGGAGGGCCCTTCTATTACAGGGACCCTTCAATTAAAAGGGGCCTTTCTATTTTTCAGGCCAGTTTTTTTTCCCGAAATTTAGCATTGAAAAATTCGACGAAGTTTCGCTCAAAATTCATGAAAATCTGCCAATTTTATCAAAATTTAACAAGATTTTTATTGAAAAATAGTTTCAACAAATTTCTATTAAATTGTGGAGTTTCCGGAATATTTTCCACTGAAAAAGTACGGAAATTTTCTGATTTCAACACATTTTGAAGTGGGAGGGTCCTTTTTCACAGAGGGACCTTCTATTTTTCCAAGCCCCTCTCGGAGGGCCCTTCTATTAAAGGGGCCTTTCTAATACAGGTTTTACGGTATTGCCTTTTTTTCATCTTTAATCCACCTTTTTGCATTTCCAGCCATGCAAATATTATCACAAATACACCGTTGTTATAAAATTTGAAAATAAAAATACAATTTTTTTTCAAAATTTGTGTGAAGTTTTTAAAATTCTAAAAACCAGGGAATCTCAACTTCAACAAAAATTATTTTGAATTCCTCTTTGTTCGCTTTCATCGCACTTGATCAAAACAGTTTCTAAAATATACATTCATTCAGAAAATTGGGAAACACAAAAAATGGGGAGAATGAAAAAAACACAAAAATAGATTAAAGTCCTTGGCTATGATTATGTTATTTTTTGCCTCCTGGCTTGATCTCAATACACTCTTCTTTCGAAGTTGGCTGGGCGTGTCGCTTCTATTGGAATGTCCTCACAGTCACTCTTTCATCCGACAATTGATTTCATAGCGATCTGTAATAGGAAACACGCCATGAGAGTAACAATTTCAAGTTATTATAATCATTTTTGAAAAACGAAAAAGCACGGAAACGTAACAGAACTTTTCATAATGACTGTTTTTATACCGTACGCATTCTGATAGAAGTCCTCTGAACTTTTAACTTTGAGCTATTTTATCTCGGTTCCAGAGAAAGATATCAAAAAGTGGCTAACTGATGAAACATTTTTCAAATTATGATAAATGTTTTGTTAGGTAATCACTTTGTGATATCTCTTACAAGAAATAAGATACTGTGGCTAAAAGTTCGGTTAGGGGGTTAATTCTATTATTTACGGCATTATGGATTTTTCAGTTAAAAGTAACCAACTTTAGAGCCCTACGAAAATAGTTCGGAATTTTTAGATTTGCTTGAAAATTCCAGAGTATACTATACACAAATAATGCTTCAGTTTTGTAATTGGTTACTTTTCTGTGCAAAAACGAGATAAGCGGTTTCAAAGTCACACAAATAATTGCGAATTTCGACAAAAACAATGAGAATCGTCGCTAATTTGAAAAAAAGCTCTAAAAGACGATAGTTTGCTCTTTGCTCTTTCAACGGGACCTTCGCTCTCAACGACAGAAATATCAAAAATTACTGTTTCAATGAAAAACTTTTTTTCGGACGAAATTTTTAGAACTGATGATTTACGTTTACCGACAATACCGTATAATAGTACCGTAAAAATATCTTGTTTCAGTGAAAAATAGTCAAATTTAGAGATCTACAAAAGTACTTCAGAATAATCCGATTCGTCTGAAAATTTCACATTAATCTGAACAAAAATATATCTTCATTTTCGTATTTGAAAACTTTTTCGGTGAATTCCATTCTGATGAGATATGCCGTTTGTAACAAGAAAAAAAGTGCTGGAAATGTCGAAATTCGCAATTATTTGTGTGAATTTGAAACCGCTTATCTCGTTTTTGCACAGAAAAGTAACCAATTACAAAACTGAAGCATTATTTGTGTATGCTCTGGAATTATACTCTGGAATTTTCAAGCAAATCTAAAAATTCCGAACAATTTTCGTAGGGCTCTGAAGTTGGTTACTTTTAACTGAAAAATCCATAATGCCGTAAATAATAGAATTAACCCCCTAACCGAACTTTTAGCCACAGTATCTTATTTCTTGTAAGAGATATCACAAAGTGATTACCTAACAAAACATCTTCCTTATATATAAAACGCTAGACGTGTCTGTTGGTCCTAGTGTCCGGCTGTCCGGTTTTGGGTTTCAAATAAGAATTAGGCCGCCGCCAAAACTGAACCCGCGGCCCTTCGGACAACGGCTGCGCATGCACCCAGTTGTGCCATCACAGGGGACTGCCGAAAAACGGGCCGTCTGGCGGGCGCGGACTGCCGAAAAGCGAACAGTCGGTGGTCGAATCGCCCGCCGCCGACGATCTGCAAAGATTTGCGCCTCGAAGACGGGCCGTCAAAAATGATAGCGCTTTCTTGACAGTTCATCATTAAACAGGTAATAAACAATAGAAATTCTTTATTAAACTAATAGTTTCTGTGGATTGTGTATTGTATTGAAACAAATAACTATGATTTTTTCAAAGTTGAATTTTTATGATTAGAATGAGAGAAGACACAAATTCTATAGGGAACAGAACTTCGATTTTCTATTTGTGTTTTCGCAAAATTCCAACTTTATAAAAATTCAAATTTTAAAATGCGAAGATTTTTTTCTCGTTCCTTTCGTTCTTTTTTCCTTCTTCGTTTCTCGTTTCCAATTTCTCGTTCTCAGCATTTCTCTCATTGAACAGTATTTTCCGCTTTTAATTGATTTTCTTTCAGAATAAGTAAAATTGATGAGTTCGTAACATGAATTGAGCACCCAAAAAAACTGGCATAAAAAAAATCTTTACATGTTTAAGGCTTAGCGACATTTTTAGCAGAGACTTCAAAAGTTCGACATATCGCATGTGATATTTTTAAAGCCGATCGGAAGCAGAAAAAGCAACAGATTTTCGTATAATTTTTCATGCGCGAACCTTGCAAAGCTGTTACTTTCCACAGCACTTGCAAAACATCACACTTGCGAAGTGTCGGCGAGGCAAATTTTCGGCAACAGAATGAGAACGTTAAGAGATTTCGATAGTTTTTTCTTCGGAGCATATAAAAACTCACCAACTCACCACATAAAAACCTCTGCAACGTTAAATTTGTTACTTTCCGAAGCAAAAACTTGCGAAACGAGTTTTCACCGATTTTTTCGCAACTAAAACGCGAGGAAGAAAGTGCACGAATGTTTTTGATGTTTTTCTAATGCCAGTATTTAGATAATTTGAGCGAAAAATACTGAATTTCAATGAGAAAACACTTCGAAAAACGAAAAAAACTGTGAAAATTAGACGAGAAATTCGTTGAGTCTTGTGTCGCTAAACAAGGCGCAGGCGGGATTTTGGAGTGTCGTTGCGAACCGAAATTCCGAAACTCGTCAGCTAAAACGGCAATTAAAAACGAATGGTCGAGATTTTTGAAGAAAAAGAAACAAAAAGAGAACAGCATTTTCAGACAAAAATTGTAAAAAGTTTTCAGAAAAAAATTTCGTCGGAACTCTTCAGAAAATGGGAAAAGTATGACCGGAAACACGTGCCTTAAACGGAGGATTATTATCACGAAATGACAACTCCAGTTACGATATTTTAACAGAAAATGCGAACACATGCTTTTAGATGGATACCCAGAAACATTCAGAAATTCATTTTACAGCGTTTTTTTTTCCAGCCGCCATCCACCAATCAGCGCCTCTTCGACTGTCATTTAGCCGTTTTTCACCAATCGCGCCTCAGATTCTAATTTTCGTAGAATTGCTTCTAATAACACATTTTATAGATTCCCAGATCCCTCTATGACTTTTATCATGTTTTAAGAGAAACATCTTTTTTCAACCAAATTTTCCATTTTGCAGAAATTTGGCCCCCTCTACCTGTGATGAAGGCCACACCAGGAGAGAGAAGGGAGGGCGTACATATTCTACCCTTTGAGAAAGAGAAAGCGAAAAGTGAGGGGTGGAGCGAAAAACCAGTAAAAATATTGAATTGCGCCGAAGGCGCAGCAGCCAGCAGGCTGGTTTATCATAATTCGAAAAATGTTTCATCAGTTAGCCACAGTTAGGGGAACTTCTATCAGAATGCTTACGGCATCTGTTTGTGAGGTGCTATACGCCTAGAAACAAAACAAAGCTAAAAAAAATTACGAAAAAAAAAATCTGATTTTTTTACTGTTTCAGCAAGAATATACCACTATTTATTGGGAAATAGTATGCAGTCACAAAGCTGATGGATGTGGTTCTTTTAATTTAATTTAATTTTGTTTATTGATCAGGTGTAATAAAACATTAGAGGGCAGGACATGAAAGACTCAGAAAAATGCCCCTCACGAGGCCGATCTGAGTAGGGGAGGGGAAACGGGATAATTTAGATATTTGACACAAAAAAGATGTAACCGGTAGAAAAAAAAATAGGGGAGCAAATATTTCAATA